CACTGTAGGATATTAAGTCCACTCCAAATTACAGATAATAAGAAATTTATCTTGGCTTCACCCAGGTGAGCAGGGTACAAACTGCCCCTGTTGTATGAAAGAGGATTTCTTGCTCTTCTTGCCTGTCAGAGGTACTGTCAGGGTACCCAGACTGAACTATCAGTTTCTAGTAAAATAATAACCTCTGCCTTTTACTGAATGCTCATGAAGTGTCAGGGACTGCACTAGGCATGCATATCATGTCATTTCATCTTTAAAATGAGCTTTCGCGAAACCTCTTAACTGTTACAGTCTGCCTAACTTTGAGACGTTTAATCACTTGACTGCTCCTGGATTGAGGGAGAGACCGTCATTGGGGGTAAGGGTAAGAATCGAAAAGGCTGTTTTTTGGTTTTTCATCTACCTGTTCATACCATTAATGTAGATAAGAGGAGATGGAGGAGACAGACAGAGATGATTGAGTGCTTTTATCTCTGATATGTCACCAACATAAAAGCAGGTAATGGCTACCTTAATTACTCCTCTGGATGCTCATGAATCCTGGGTCCAAACTGAGCTCATAGAGCAAGGGTGGGATTCACTGAACCTCTCACTTGTCAGATACTGAGCAACTACTGAACACAGAGCCTTGGTAAATACAAAAGCAGTATTCTCTGTGTATCCTGTGTTCATGAGTTTAAACAAGAGTGGGGTTTTATACCCGGAATTACAAATTAAAGTATGTACTAGCATTGGCCCTTGAACGAAACTTGTGTACCACCGGCATAAGAGAGGAGAGAATCAGTTAAGATGCAGCTAACTTTGTGCTCTGAATAAATGTTTCCCCATGGCTCAGGAGCTTTGGTGATAAGGGTAAACATTTTCATAGAAGATAAACAAAGTGTCTTATTCTCAGTCCCTCCCTTAGAGATAAATTCTGGATTCAAATGCAGACCACAAAAATAGGTCATGAGCACTCCCATCTTAGGCCTCCCAGCTGTAATTTTATTGTGAGACTCCCTAAGATGCTAAGAGAGCTAAAACTGGTTTTGGCTTATCCCCAAAGTGACTATATGGAGTTATTCCTAGATCTGATTGATGCTCACAAATATATATAGTTGTGGAGAGGCAGATCTTTCTTGAAGAACCAAGGAATAGTTTCTCAATTCTCAAAGACGTAAAAGTTAGGAATTAATTACAATCAATGGTAACACTGTATAATCTAAGATATAGCAAAAAACTTAAAAATCACCTCATATAACCCCTTCTTGATAAAACAAAAAATCAAGATTTAAGTGAGTTGGCCAAATTTAAATGATTTATTAGTGGTATAATCTAGGACTGGGTTTTCTTTAAAAAATTGTTTAAAGATTTTATTTACTTTTAGAAAGACGAGAAGGGAGGGAGAAAGAGGAAGAGAAACGACTCTGTGAGAGAGAAACATCAATGGGTTGCCTCTCGCACACCCCCAACTGGTGACCTAGCCCGCAGCCCAGGCATGTGCCCTGACTGGGACTCGAACTGGTAACCTCTTTTTTTGGTTTGCCGGTCAGCACTTGATCCACTGAGCCACACCAGCCAGACCCTTATTTCTTCTAAATATTTCCATAACCTTTTTATTAGGTATGACCATGACCCAGGATATTTATATTTAGGAAGAGCTCAGCCTCAATTTTACTTTTCCCTGCAGTTAAGATCTTCCTGGCCCTGGCTGGGTAGCTCAGTTGGTTCAGGCATCGTCACAGTATACCAAGTTTGCCAGTTCAATCCCCAGTCAGGGCATGTAGAAGAATCAAACAGTGAATGTATAAAAAAGTGCAACAGCAAATTGATAATCTGTCTGTCTATCTCTCCCCTCCTTTCTAAAAGTCAGTTAAAAAAAAAAAAAAGATCTTTCTGATCTGCTAATGTAAGGAAACCTACCATCTTATTTGTACTTTTAAGATTTTATTTATTTATTTTTAGAGAGGGTAAAGAAGGGAGAAAGAGGAGGAGAGAAACATCAGTGCATTGTTGCCTCTCGAGCAGCCCTTACTGAGGTCCTTAACCCGTAACCCAGGCATGTACCCTGACTGGGAATTGAACCAGCAACTCTTTGATTTGCAGACTGGCACTCAATCCACTGAGCCACACCAGCCAGGGCAAGAAACCTACCAATTGTTAAGCACTTCCCTTGTTCCAGGTTCTTCATATGTTATCTCACTGAATACTTAAAAGATTCTTCTAACAGTTTAATGGTCATGTGAATTACCCAGAGATCTTGTTGACACAGAATTTGATTTTGCAGGTCTGGGATGGTGTTCAAGTTCTGCATTTCTATAAAGCTGCCAGGAAAAGCCAATAATGTTTTTGACTTGTGGGCCTTACATTGTGTAGCAAAGATGTGGGTTGATATTATCTTCATCTTACAGATGAAAAACAGGCTTACAGAGATTAAATAAACTGCCCAAGTTTATACAGACAGTAAATGGTAGATTAGTGATTTGACCTAGGTCTTTCTGACTTTAAAGCGCAAAATGTGATAAGGAAAGCCAGAGAAAAATGGAAAGGGAGCTTATGGTCCAATATCTCTTAAACAGGTCACATCTCAAGGGAGTCAGTGGCAGAATCAAATGGTCCTAGCTCTCGGCGAAGTGTTTCCCCTTTTTCTTATCAGTCCCCTAATCAAGATCTTTCCTTCATGTTTAGCAAACCATATTTAGAATTGGCTTTTGGGCTTTTCTCCATTCCAGGTTTATTGCTAAACCCTGTGCACTCCATGTTGGCATCCAGGACAGTGGTCCTTATCTGGCCCAACCCAATGCCATCCTTGAAAAGGTGTTCATATCTATTACCAAGGTAAGTGGGCAAAGAAACAGAGAAGATTCATATGACGGGTTGCTCCATAGGGCAGGGGAAGGTAAAGAACAGGAATCTCCAAGGGTAAGGTAGGATGGGATGATCTTTCATGTTTGGATAGTCATTATATCTATGAGGAGAACATTATCCCCTCAGGAAAATACCTTTGGGCCAAGATATAAGTCGGCTTCTACATACACTGGAGTTTTAGGCCTAGCAGTCACTACCACCCCATGCTCCCCAGACACATCATGCTCAATTTTGTTCTTCCCTGCTCAGCTTTTGTCAGTACCTAGTTGCATAATTAAGATGGGAGCTGATAGCATTTGCAGTTTGGGATTTTAATGTCTTTTCTACTCAGCTTAGGCTGGAGGGAGAAGACCAAACAAGGATGTGTATAGGTGAGTGGTAAAAAGTCCTTGATAATGTGAAATAGTACTTCTTACTATTGAGATGACTTTTTGAGATGAAACCTGGAAAGATAAATGTCACTTGAGCCACTGTAGTTATCACCCCTTTGCCACTCAACTAGTCAAAGGGATTTAACGAGAGGTTTGAAGAAAAAGACATGTTCTCTGGTCAATATATCTACAGTATCCTGATGAAAAAAGGCTGGAGGGCCTGTCAAAGCAACTGGACTGGGACATACGAAAAATCCAATGCTGGTTTCGCCATCGGAGGAATCAGGACAAGCCCCCAACGCTCACTAAATTCTGTGAAAGCATGTAGGTGTGCAGAGGGAGGTGGGGAGTGAGGAGGAGGGTGGGGCATGACTGGACTGAGGTTTTCTTCTTGGAAATCACTTCTATTATTAGCACAACAGTTGATGAAAGTGGAGGGCTAACTCTATTATAGTCAGCAAAGAAGAGATCTGGAAGACTGGCCACCCTTAGTTTCTTCGACATACTTGCCACTGAGTTAGATGTAGCTCCATTTTGTTCCTCTTTCCCAAATAAATTGGGAGTGAATTCCTTCACATAGGTAGACATGTCCTGCACACCCTTGTACACCTTGGTAGCAGTAGTACCAGCTTGCTGTAAATGGACATTTTTGGTGGGAAGCATCCCTTCTCTGGACATACTATGCTTCATTTCACTGGGTTTTTATTAATTTTCCTCTGGACACTGAGCACTGTATTTATCATTATTGCGCAAAATAAAATAATAGATCCTATCATCAGGGAGTCTGATGTGGAAGAAAAGTTGTTTTAAGCCAGTATACACTTATGGAAATCTATTTTAAACACAGGCTGAAACGTGCCTATCGTTTTGGCTTTTGAGATAACAGTATTTGTCCCTATTCTGGGGACTTATCTTCTTTCTCACCAGTAACTACCTTATCCCCAAATCTGCTATCTTCTTTAGCCTCAAAGACTTTTTGAGTGAGTATTCATCTAACCTCTACTCTACCCATCCAGGTGGAGATTCACTTTTTATTTATGCATATTCTGCTACGGAATTAGATTTCTTTGGTCGGTGAGTATGAACTTTCTCTGGTTTTCTCTTGGGTTTTAATCATGCCTATATCTCTAGGGATGACTTAAAAGCCGTTAGATCTCTATTTTTCCCTTTTTCTCTGTGATGCCGATAGGCCAAGTTTATATGTGAAGTGGTTGCCTTCTGTCTGGGGCCTGACTTCAGTAACCTCATAACTCTACTGTTTCTTCCCTAAATAATGCTAATACTAAGTTGATTAAATCAGTATAATACACGATGGTTTGCAAAGTAGACAAAAATTTTGTTCTTCCAGGGAGGAGACAGTTACAGAAATAGAATCAGTAACCGTTTAAAAGTAAATTTTTACTTTTCAGTTAGTTGTCAAAGAATTTCAGGCTTTTTGATATCTGATTCCACGTTTGTTTGTTTTTTTCACAGCATCAGCCTTTTCTAAATTATGTAATTAAGACTTCAAAATGTATGAAGCAAAAAGAGGCAGAACTGAAGGATGAGGATAGACAAAGACACAATCATTCTTGAAGATTTTAATACTCTTCTATGTAATTGACTAAATCACTAGACAGAAAAATACCACTAAAGATATAGTTTTCAACAACAGAATCAACAAATTTGACCTAATTGACACTAACAGGACACTACACCAACAGCTGAACATATATATAATTTTCCAGTGCACATGAAACATCAACTAAAGTAGACCATATGGTAGGCCGTAAAATAAATCTTGGCCTCCTGGTGCTTCCCACAGGCTGTGTTCTTCCACTGACTGTACAGACAGAGGAGGCAGAGTAAACCCACCCCATGTACACCTCAGCCTGCACCCTTTGCCTAGTCTGTATTGTGAATGGAGGGACATGGAGAATGCATGCATGAATGAGTGAGTGAGTGAGTGAGTGAGTGAGTGAATAAATAAATCTCAGTAAACTTTAAAATTGAAATTTTACAAAATGTGTTCTCTGATCATAATGGAATTAAGTTAGAAATCAATAATAATAAAATCTGCAGAAAATATTGGGAAGTTAAGCAACTCTGCTACATAATCCGTGGACCACACACAAAATCACAAGGGAAATTTTTAAATATTTTGAATCGAATGATGCTGAAAATACAACATACCAAAATCTGTGGGATGCAGCAAAAGCATGCTTAGAGGGAAATTTATAACTTTAAATGTTTATGTTAGGAAAAAAAGAAAGCTTTAAAAATCAGTGATCTTACGTTTTCATTTTAAGATCTGGAAGAAAGGAGCAAAGCAAACCCTAAGTAAGTTAAAGGAAAGAAATAATTAAAAATAAGCAAAAATTAATGAAATAGGAATTAGGCAAACAATGGAAGAAACTAATAAACCCAAAAGTTGGTTCTTTGAAAGGTTTGATTAAAATCAATAAGCTTCTGGAAAAAAAGAGAAAAATTACTGATATCAGAGAGTAAAAGGGATTATCACTACAGATCTTATAGATATTAAAAGGATAATAAGACAACATTATGAACAATTTAATAGTAATAAATTCAGCAACTTAGATGAAATGCACAAATTCCTTAAAGGACATAATTGAAACTCCATTAGAAGTTAACTATTTTTGACTTTGGAATCTTTGATATGGAGATCTTTCTCTTGGTTATCAGATGGAATCATTGTCTTCCTGTCTTCCTATCTACAATACATCCCAGATGGTGATGCTTTCAAAAACTATCCTAGAGTTCTTCCTGCTTTTATTTACCTCAAAGCATGATTTTTCTATTTGTAGTAACACTTTAAGTTCCATAAGAAAACCCTAGCACTTTATTTACCCTTAAAGGATTTCTGAATTCTGTCAAGATGGATCCCTTTTTAGTTCCCTTCTCCCTTTTCCCCTTATATCATAGAGAGGGGGGATTACCATATTTTGCCGTGTACAATGCACTCCCATGTATAATGCGCACCCTTGTTTTTGGCCCAAACTTTCAGGAGAAAAATCTTCCGTTTTAATTTTTTAATTCAATTTTTTTATTTATTTATGTTTAAAAACGAAACCAATTATCATATTCCAGGGTATTATTTTGCATATGGATACTGTTATTGTTTTCCAGAGTTACACTTTTAACGCATAAGCATAAGTAAAAGAATTAAAAACATTTTTATGGATATGGAATTAGTACTACCCATGTATAATGCACATCCTTATTTTTCTCTCAAAAATTTGGGCAAAAAAGTGCGCATTATACATGGCAAAAATACAATATATAAGTGAGCCAGGGGAGAATACTGAAAACTGACCTGGATTATCTGTTTTCTCTTAGTCAGCTTGGTTTTGGGATACCCGACAGTGCTGGCATAGCTATCCATACCAGGTAGGACCTGAGCCCTTTCAAGGCAGGGGCCTTATATTTGTGTGTAAAGTGGGGTGGGGGAGAGTGCTGTCACAGAGCAGGTGGCACATTTCTCTGATGTCCTTAAGGGAGTAGGGGTTGAGTCTCTTCAAGTAATATATTCAGGGTATCTATTTCTGGGCTCCCATAGCTATGAAATTCAGTGATCTTTTTGTTCTAGCTCCCCATTATATTCACCCTAATTGGGCTGGCAAGTAAAGCAGCTCACTGGCATTAGTGAGGTGTTTTCTGATTTAGGTGTCCCTTTTGAATCAAGGGTAACTTGGAATCCCCCTAATCTATACTGGAAAAATGTCAGGGGGCTGCTAGCAGGATGGAAGAAGGGAGGCCTGAGTGTATTTAATCTCTGAAAAAGTGTTAATTGTTTGATCATGCTATAGTATGTATTAACTTTATCTGATCTCTAAAAGATGAGAGCTGAAGATATGTATATGAAAGGGCAGAGGTACGAGGTTTAAGTCTTCATACCAACCCGAAGCCTGTTAGCTATTGCAGATGTCTAATAATTTTGGGTGTTGGTCTTCCAAGGCAGAGGAAGTTGCAGAGATAGAGTGACTCTTTGACTAGTTGGTATTCTAACTACTTCTTTCTTTCTTCCAGCCTCTCACAAGTGGACTTTATTACTATTATATCATGGAATTGGCCTTTTATTGGTCTCTTATGTTTTCTCAGTTTACAGACATTAAAAGAAAGGTAAGGACACTGGCTCCCTCGATTTCCTAACTTATTATATCCTCCTTCCTAGCAGCTACCATTACTGCCATTGTGATGGATTCTCTCTCCTGAATGGGACTACAAAATAGGGAGAAAGTAGGTTTGACGGGAACAATAGCTCTTTGTAATGTTCTCAGAAATGAGACTTGACTAATGAGGAAGTATATTTGAGGAATTCAGGGTAGCCAGGATGAGAACAGTTAGCGAGCTAAACATTCCCCTTTCTTTATTTTTCTCTAAGGTTTTTACATGTATAAAGCTCAGGAAACTAGTCACAACTTAGGAATTGCAAGTCATGATCCAGGACAAGGCCTGAATTCATAAAGGCTAAACCTGGCTTTTGCTTGACATTAGGTATCCTTGTTCTCTGTCTGCTTTCCCTCCTTGGTGAGCCCACTTACTCAAAGAATTTCAGATGGAAGAGGTTTTAGATTATTTCATTTACCTTTTTCTTGCTATCGGAAATTACTTAAGTTTTTTATAAGCAGATATAATCTTTGCCTCTTATTATTGCCCACTTGATATAATGTAGTTCCGTCAGCTCTAACCCTAATCTGTTACTAACTTGTGGTTATCTTTGGTGAAGAAAACCAAAGTTAGCATTTATGGGAACGGACTGAGACTAATATGGGTTGCTGTTGTGTAACCTAAAAACTTGATATGCAATTCAGATGCCTTTCACTCTCCTATGTTCAGGAGACACAGATCCCCTTATTAAGATGTTATTTTAATACATGACACAAATATAAAAGGTTTGTAATATATATGTTGATTTGAAAACATACTGGAATGTATACTTGCGACCCCATCCCCAACTCAAAAGCTAGAATGTACCATTATATTGGTTTCATCCATGTTTCTCTGACCCAAATTCACCTGTCTTCTCCAATTGTCTGTCCCTCAGTGGACCGAGAAGTATTTATTAGCTATGTCTGATAACTCAGGCATTTAGAGATTTCTCCAGGTCTAACTTTGGCATTGGAATCCAAGATGAAATTAGACATTTAAGTATGTTCTGAGCTATATTAACATAGATTATCGGTCAGTCACTGATGTAGAGTTTGCATCTGGGCACTTTCCTAATGGAGAGTTTAAATAAAATGGAACTTCTAAGGATGGGGCAAAATCCTCAGAGGAAAATGTAGGGCATTGACTAGGCTGGCATCTCTATGGCCTTGCCTATATTTGCCTCTTCTATTTCCATTCCTTCCTAGGACTTCCTGATCATGTTTGTGCATCACTTGGCCACCATTGCGCTCATCACATTCTCGTACATCAACAATATGGTTCGGGTAGGAACTCTGGTCATGTGTCTACATGATGCCTCAGACTTCTTGCTAGAGGTAGGACCCCATCCTCTCTTTCCTCTTTATTCCTCTTTGTCTCCTTTTCTTCCTGAGAACAGACTTTCCTCAATTCAGTTCTTACCTTCCTTTCTCCAGGCAGCCAAGCTAGCCAACTATGCCAAGTATCAGCGTCTCTGTGACACCCTTTTTGTGATCTTCAGTGCTGTTTTTATGGTCACACGTCTAGGAATCTATCCATCCTGGTAAGTGTTCGGGCTGTGGAGCTGTGGTAGGTATGTAGCTAATGACACCTTTTGTCAGTTTCGGAAGTAGACCACCAAGAACCTGATTGCCCTGCTTTTTTCTTGACCTAACCTGACCTTTATGGGCTCTCACAGGACCTTGGTTCCCTTGCATTATATTTCTAGTGAGGCATGATCCAGACTCAGAGCATCCAACTCACTTGACTGTGGCTTTCCTGGCTCATCTCTGAAGAACAGTTCTCATTTCATGCCTGAGTAATTCCTTTGCTTTCTTTTGCGCTGATTAAAAAATTCTCAGGCTCTTGCTTGTTTTCCTGCCCTGCACCCTCTCCCCTACCTTGACCAACACACACACACACACTTCTCACTTCTATACTCACTACTTGATAGTACAAAGTCAGTGCTTAGTCTGAAGGAATCAGCCACCAACTTTTTTTTTTTGATTGATTGATTTTTAGAAAGAGAGAGGAAGGGAGGGAAGGAGGTAGATAGAGATCTTCCCCTGCCCCTAAAAAATAAAAAATCTTCATAGGCTCCCTTTCCTTATTTCTTTCTCACTGTGGGTAAATATCCATGGAACTTAAACTGAGAGAAGTGTAGGGAGAAAACACACAGGTTCTACTTCCCAGGGAACTCAACTTCAACCTCATCTGCCTGGCATTGACTTTAGAATCTGACCATTGGTCTCCCTCTTCTAGGATTCTGAACACGACCCTCTTTGAGAGTTGGGAGATGATTGGGCCCTATCCCTCCTGGTGGCTCTTCAATGGCCTTCTCCTGACCCTACAGGTTCTACATGTCATCTGGTCCTACCTAATTGCACGAATTGCTTTCAAAGCCTTGATCCGAGGAAAGGTTAGTATGAGAGATGGCTTCTTTCTTTGGGGCTGGGTAGAAAGATTAGTATTACTCAGTGGACTTTCTCTCTTAATCTAGCCTGGAAAGCCCCATTTGTACAAACAGACCCAGCAAAAAGCCTAGGGATCAGAGTTTACATCTTTTCTCTAAGTTTGAGTAGTTAGACTCTTAGGACATGACTTAGGTGTAAGAGGAAGGATCTTCCTTCTTCTTGCCCTTTAGAAATGACTGTTAAATAATGAACAGGATTAAGTTTTAGAGGTGGCCTTAGCCATTTCCTACCCCTTACCTACTTCAGTGGATTCCATATTTTATAGTTTTAGCTAGAGAGCCTTTTTTCTTTTTTTTTTAAATTTTATTTATTTAT